TAATCAAAGATGCCTCGGGGATGGGTTTGGGGTGCATAGTTTAGATAATATATATGGACAGACACATATAGGATATTTAAAAAAAAAAAAAGCTGTTATAATGCAGGTCGTTTCTACCATTATAGTTAAGACTGTGTTTTGGTGATGACTGGATTATGCAAAGATGCACTGGGTGGAAAGTGGCCTAGACATTTTAGTTTCTTTTGTCCTGATAGAAAGTAGTTTGGGGCTGATTTCTTTCTAAAAAGATGGAAGAGGGGAAGGAAAGTTGAGTACTCATTTTGAGCTGCTGTATGGGCGCCCAAATAATTCATTTTTATTAATCATCCCTTTAAAAAAAAAAGTCAGAATGTGGCTTAATCCCCGGTACCTGTACTCCATCTGAGTAGCGCTTCCTTACAGGTGGAGTAGCCCCACAGGTCGCCTTGGGAAGTGAGTACTACTCAACGTAAAGCTGGCTGGACGTTTTGACAAGGTAGGGATGGGAATGAATAGCAACTGATATGACGAGATCTGACAGAACATTTTAAAGGGAGTTTCTTTCGTCGGATACGCCGGCACCTCATACAGCAAAACTTGGGATGCTGCTGCTTGCAACAGGAGTCCTGCTAACAACCGTGGTGCACTGGAGATTAGGGATAGACTAAGCCTGTAAACAATGTCCTATGTAACTGTAATGAATTCCCTGCTCTCCCCTTATTTCAGCCTTTTACTGGGTGCAGCTTATTTCCTTCTTCATGTTGGGACAACTCTGCCTAGTGTGTAGAGGGTGGGTTGAATAAGGGTGTCAGCCCATCTCGGTGCCTCCTTACATCCTTCCTGCCCACCTGCTTGTGAGAGGTGGCAAAACCAGGCGCGCTGCCTCTGCTCTCCCTCCTTCCAGCAGTGTGGGGACCATGGCTGCAGCCTCATGGGAGTGAAGTCTAAGCTGTGACTCCTCCTTCCCACACTAGACACTGCCACTGTCTGGCCCTTAATGTTTGCTAGGGCTGTAATAAACTTGCTTCATGCAAAGGTTTCCTTGTCTCCATCCATGCGCTGGTCATACTCCTCAGCTTCCCATCAAATGATCAGGTTCAGACCCAAAATCTCAAAGCAAAATTTTTTGGCTGGGGAAAAACCTCTTGGTTTGGCCCAGTTTTGTGCTGGGAAGCGAAGAGCTGGGAATGAGCCTTTTGGGCAGAGAACTGGGAGTGTATTAGGCTGGGAGAAGTAATGATTCCCCTGGGGGATATCTCTATGCTGCCAGTGAGACAGAAGCAGTTCTGGCTGGCCAGGTAAGAACCCTTCTGAGCCAGCTCTCCGATGGAACGCAGGGGCCTAGAATCAGCCCAGCTCAGAGCAGACTCCATATAGCTGCATTTCCCGAGCCAATTGGACCAGGATGCTGGTGCAGAATTGCATGCGGCTTTGCACAGGGGGTCACACAGATTTTCTTCAAGTATAAGCTGTTAGTGAATATGCTGGGGGAAATGTTCCTTGAACGTTCA